ATGGATATTAACTAGACTTATTGTGGTGGTCATTTCACAATATATACCAATATCAGATCATTATGTTGTACATCTTAAACTAACATAATATTATATGTCAAGTATATAATAAAAACACCCTCAAATGACCTTATGGGTGAGATGCTTTGATTGGTCAAGACCAGGGAGGACTGCAACTATTGTTGTGATTACTGGACTGGAAATCATGGAGATCTGAGTTAAGTCCAATGTCAAATCCTTTATATAGATAAGAGAGCTTGGGCAACCATTTACCCCAAACCAGTTTCCTCTCTGTATGATATGATGATTAAGACCACAGATTCTGGAACCAGCCTTGGGCAAGTTAAGTGACCTCTCTGGGCCTCAGTATCTTCATTTGTAAAAGGCTGAAGAGGACCTATATTCTAGGGTTCTTAACAGAATTAAATGACCCTTATAAAGCACTTTGAATGAAGCTGGCACTATGTGATGTTGTGGGCTAAGTCTATGGTACTCTGCATAGCCTGATATTTAAGGAAAATGCTGAGATCATGAGACACACCTAATCCATAAACCAGAAATCCTAGGTACTTTCCACAATTATGAGGGAAGCCAAGGGTACAGAGGGGAAGGGAAGGCTGGACAAAGAATCCCTCTGGACAAAAAGGAAGATGAAGAGCCTTTTTGGAGGAGCTATTACACAATGAAAGAAAGCTTCCAAGAAGCAAGGGGCTTTGCAAAGCTAAGTAAGGAGTGTGTGTGGTGGTGGTGCTGGGGGTGGGGGTCTGTATGTCAGAGATTCTCTCTGTCTTTGAGACAGGAACATTGTGGGAAGGGGCAGGGGAGGTGGTACAATGGGAGGATGTGCAAATACATTCCAGATGTCCTTCAAAGAAGCAATGGCGTGTGGGGTAAGATCATTTTTTATTTTGGAAAATGTCTTTAGCTTCTCAAACTTCCTATATTTCAATTGGGTTTTGAGAGGTGCCTATGGAAGTAAAAGCATGACAACGTGTGGGGAAGGGGCAGCTAGTGCAGGCACGTGCAGCGCCAGGTGAGAGGGAGCACTGGTCTCCCCGGTGTCCTCACTGTCCAGGTTGTCCAGGGCAGCTGTGTGTGCTGCCAGCTGGAAGTCACCTGCCTGTTTAAACAGGCCAAGCCTCCAGTGGGCACACGTCCTGTTTAGCCTGATGGGGCTGGATGCATTTCAGAGCTGGTTTCATTCCCTCGGTGGGTGCATTGGCAACAAGGAGAAGCCATTGAACTACTCTTTGCTCTGAGTTGAAATCATATTGTAACAATAGACATGACCTCAGTTCGGTGCCTCTCCATCAGGTTCTATTATTCAACCTCTCCATCCTCATAAGAGTGATCAGAGTGGAACAGAGTAGGTCTTTGCTTATTATAAGAGACAAAGTAAGAGAGAGGGGCTCACGCTGAGTGTAAGCATTGTGACACAAGGACGAAGGCTTCCCCGGGAGATGGGCGGAGTGGGATAAACCAGAGCCACTCCCACCCATCTCTCTGCCTCTGGAAGTAAGACAAGGTGGGGAAAGTTTAAGGACAACTTTAAAAACCTGTGGGAGCTGGCGAGGAGAGGATTACAGTTACAGGAAAAGGCTTGACATCCATTTTCCATGAAGACAAGACATTTCCTTGACCCGAAGGTACAGCCCTGAGAGGTAAACTATGAAACTGTGATTTTAAAAAGGGGGAAGGGGATACTGATGATGATAATGATTTAATATTTCTTGAGGCATCAGGATTTTCCAGGTATTGTGCCAAGTGCTTCTTGAGCACTTATCCCATATTGGCCTCACCACAATCCTATGAGGTAGGTCTATTTTTAGCTTCATTTCACAAGAGAAGAAGTTATTGTTCAAAGAAATTACAATGCTATGAGGTGGCATCACTTGGATTTGAACCAACATTCCAGTTCAGAGCCTGAATTCCTAATGATCTCACATGAGCCTCAAGTCTACCCGTGTCTAGCAGCCTCATGACCCAAGTTTTCACTCCAGTTTTGGAGAAGAAAGTTGTAAAGGTGCAGTAACCTGAGAGGTGTGTGTAACAGAGGGAGGCACATTCTCACCTCCAAAGTCAGGTTCTGGGAGGAGCGGGGAGGGGTAGTGTCCATAATTTGTGGGCACCTTTATATAACACTCGGGTCCTCTCAGCACACAGCAGTGGGACCATATTCCCAGGCCCGGCTCTCAGCACCGCGGTGACACGGTGCAATCCCTTCCCCTAAAGACGGCTCTGTCAGCGGGTGATGGATGTTCAAATAAGATTCTGTATGATTTGCTCTTTGATTTTCCTCCAGGACCATTTCTAGTTCAGTGACTAAATAAAAATCAATCACCAAGGAGAAATACAGCAGAATCCTAAATTTAGTCCTGGTGGACAGAAATACTCTATCATTATTGAGAAATCTGGTTTCAAGGAAAACACCATTTACCCCAAAGCTCAGTAAATAACACACAATTTAGACAACTTGATAGGATGACGATGTTCACCCATCCCAAATTTAGACTCTGTCCATGTTTAGAAGGCAAATCGTCATAATATTTTTACTATTATCACTTGATTTTGAGAAAAAGAGGATTTCTAGCAATTCTAAGATTGTTGGTATCTGGAGGCCCAGCTCAGGCTATTGCAGTGGTTCTCAACCTTGGCTGCACATTAGAATCACCTGGGAATCTTTTTAAAATCCTTGGTTTCTGGGCCTCACCCTCCGGAAATTCTGGTTTCTTTTGTTATGGGTGGAGCCGCGTCCCTTTTGTTTAT